TCTCCCTTGTAAAAGAAAACAAATAATGTATGCAGATACACCGCCCTCATGGTAGGGGAGCATAAATGTTTTTACTATATTACTATACTGTGTTTTTACTTTTTAAAAAACTGTTACAATATTTTTTAAGTGTGACTTTCTTCCAAAGGTACAATATAGAAAGGGGTAACAAGACTAATGAGAAAATTTGACAAATACTACCTCAGCCAGGTGATCAAGATTAGCATCAACATCAATATTAGGTTATAAATCAAATTAGCAGTGTGTGTCCTTGATAAGTGATAAAAATGACAGTTTATCTCTATTATTGTCCTCTGTAAAACACATAACCCCAGTCTATCCATGAGAAAATCTCAGACAAATTCCAACTGAGGGATGTTCAACAAAATACCTGACCAGAATTTTCCAAAACCGTTGAAGTCATCAAAAACAAGGAAATTCTGAGAAATCATCACAGCCAACAAGTGTCTACAGAGCTATGACACCTAATTGTAGTGTGGTATCCTGGATAGGCTCCTAGAATAGAAAATGAATATTTAGGTAATAACTAAGGAAACTTGAATAAAGTTATGGATTTAGCAAATTACAATGGTTCAACATTAGTTCATCACTTGCAACAAAAGTATAATATGTAAGATATTAATAATAGGAGAAATTGCATGCAAGGTATATGTAGACCCTATTATCTTCTCAGTTGTTCTGTAAATCTAAAACTTTTCTAAAAAAAAATTCTATTTTGAAAAACATTCCATTATAGCATCTGGCAATAGATTATAGCAGGTTTATCATCAATACAAGGTTAGGAACAGAAGGGGATAAATACCTTCATGTATTTAAGAAAGAATTGTTCTCTTGAGAACAGAATAGACTATCATAGATTAAAATAACTTAAAGGACCATGTCATTCAATTTCTGTATCAATAAGAAAAATGAGAACAAGAGATTTAAGTGATTTGCACAGTGCCACAGAATTGTTACAAAATAGGTGCTTTTTCCAAAACAGAATTGCTCAGCTAACGATATCCCAAATTACTGGGGGTATTAATCTATATATCTGTATTACAAACTATCCTTTCTGATTTAAGTCATTTTAATATCTTGAAAGGGAAAAGTAAAGTTGGGCCCTGTTGGCAATTTAGTTAGAAACCTTTAAAAATATCTGGCTGTACATCTGCAGATTTTAAAAAGAAATCCTCTTCAATGTAAATTAACCATTAAATAATTGAAAATCAAAGGAACATAATGATCGAAATTAAATGTAGCAGTATACTCTCAGATAATGACCTGAATAGGGGGAAAAGATAAGCATTGGAAAAATACATATTATACACATTGCCATGTTTTGTTTAGACCTGGAATAACTGCTGTTCAGTGGAGTCACTATAGAGCTCATTAAAAGAATTTAAGAAAAACCAAAACAACCTTTTTCTCTACTAATGGCCTATATTTAGAGAAAGGTTTTCTTCTATAATTCAAAGCTTAGAATGATTATGAACCAGGAGATATTCCTAAAACAGGAGTCTCCCCACCAATAAAGTCATGACTGAGCTAAGCTCTAATTGTTTTAGATGAAGGTATCTGTGGTGTTTACGTGTTTATATTTCTTTAAATCTTACTATATATTGGCCAGGTGTGGTGGCTAATGCCTGTTATCCTAGAACTTTGGGAGGCTGAGTTGGGAGGATTGCTTGAGGCCAAGAGTTTGATACCAGCCTGAGCAAGAGGAAGACTCTGTCTCTGCAGAAAGTGAGCCTGTAGTCTCAGCTACTTGGGAGACTGAGGCAGGAGGATCTCTTGAGCACATGAGTTTGAGGTTGCTGTGAGCTATGATGAAGCCACTGCACTCTAGCCCAGGAGACAGAGCAAGACTCTGTCTTAAAAAGTCCTGAAAACCTTACTGTACATTACATCTCTTTATTCAGTTTTGAGTCATTAAAATAATGGAATCATTTAAATCATTTATTTATAACAGGAAAAACTCAATTAAGTCTAGAAACTTTTGCTTCTTTTTTCACACCTTTTTTCATCTAGGTTAGAAATAAGTCCAAATGTCAAAATAATGCTATTCTAAGTAGATGTCACTGTCCACATGATGACAAGAATAAAAATTGCAGAGGAACTAACCAATTTTCAGCATGCATGCCTAATAAATCGACCCTCTTATGCAACACGAATAAATTTGATGCAAAGGTCATCAATATCTTGTAGAAATTTAATATAGTAAAAGAAAATATAACTGGTAGGGGCAATAAATTCTAGTCATCTCATTTTTTCTGATACTTGACATCTGCTTATGCAGATGATGGCAGTTATTAAATATTGCATTGAAACTCATATATACAATACAGTAATGTTAGAGATATTTTGGGAATAGAGAAATGCTTTAAAAAGAAAGATCAATTCAAAATATTTGCTGTTGAAGCAAAGTTTCAATAAATTTAGAAATAAGTCGTAAGAAGGCTAAATGTCTAAAGAAAGAAGCACATGCCAATTCAGGTTTTCATGCTAATAATTTTTTAATCTTTTCTGGTGTAGAATTTAATTTTTATTTTACAATTTTGATTATTATTTTACTTGTATTCTGAATGCACTAATATTATAAACTCTATATCTATTATATTTTACATAGCTTAATTATGAAAGTAACTTTATAATGTTTTTTAAAAAGGAAAGTCAGAAGACTGCCAAGATATATTTATAACATACTGTTGCACCTCTGCCACACAGATAAGCAAACAAATAAACAAAACAATCTTTTTTAGAGGCAAAATAACATATAGGAATTCAAATTGTTTTCCACTTGGTCATCAAGGAGCTTTCCTTTATCTTCTCCTTTTTATACTGCTAGATTACTCCCTTGCATTTAATTGCTATTTCTGTTAAATGAGGTTCACATTAATTCATGATCTCCTTGTCAAATTATTTATTCTGTAACTCAACTAATAAAAAATGTTTCAAATAAATTAATTGCATACTTAAACAACACATCTAGATATATCGATCTGCTGTCCTGCCATCCTGCATTGTGAAGATAAGCAGTTTTCTGCTAAAACCGTTAGTGTCGTACTTCCATCAATGGGGCTTTGGAGAAGAGATCAATGGGAGGATATGGCCCATAGTTTTCAGATCTGTTTGGCCAGGGTCAGGAAAATTACACTTTATTTACCAATATTCTTGGTTTCTCTTGTTGATTAGACCATAGCATACTGAATCAGAGAAATTGTAGTGTTGTTGCTTAGTTACAATAGATTTTCATTTTCAGAAATTATTCAGCAAATATAGAAGGAAGATTTTACTCTTGTTTTTTTGTATTTTTCTCATTAAAACAAAGGGATTGTGAGTGTCTCCCCTTGAAATCAATTCCTAATTTTTTTCTCTTTATCCACTTTTGTTTTTGCTTTTTCTCTAGTTAACTGCCTTTCTTCAGTCTAAAGTTAGCTCTTCTAAACTTGAATATCTTCTGCCAAAATACTTTCTGGCAATCTGCCAATGTTTTCGGCACTGATATGTGTCAGCTTTCGGGATTTTTTTCAGTCTGTTGGTTTGTTTCTCTTTGAATTCATCTTTCCTCCTCCCCAGTAGTTCCTGTATTATAAATTTCAGCTCTATTTTTTTACTATGGAAGGAGCCATGTTTCCTACTTAGCAAAAATAAATTAGAGAATTCCTTCACTCCCAGAAGCCAGAGATCAAGGTACAGTCTGAGGAGTCTGATCATCACTTAAACTTGGGGGCAAACAAACTGAGCAAAAATGATCCTGCTGGTCCCATTAAATTTTATTCCTGTACATTCAGTGAACCCGGAAAATAATTTAAAATTTTAACTAACTAGACTTTTTATTATTTGCAAAACTCTAATTTAAAGTCTTGATTGAATATTCTTTAAAATTCATACAAAAACCACAAAATGGAATATTTTAGTGGCAGCAGCAACAGCAGCAGCAGCAGAAACAACAAGGAATACTCAGAAATCCCCACATTGTTTTGGTGATAAGGTCTAAGAACTTGGCATTGTACTGCATTAGATTTGTTGAAGATTTTCATACAATTCGCATACCTGGCTAAGGTAGGCCATACTGACATTAAGTCCTAACAAGTGTAATATCCAATTTGTTTTTTAACAATATTTTATAAGATCTAAGCCAGTTACTACATACCTTCTTTATTTTATTCTAATGTTGAAGAACATATTTCCATTAGACACTGTCTTTGTCATGTTTGAAGAACATTTTCTCTTGTTCAATATTTAGAGATAACATGACGTGGTAGAAAATCCACTAGATTGACTATTAAGAGCCTTCAGTTCTTATCCTGTTCTGTCTTGGCTCATTTTTGGTTTTTTTGTTTGTTTATTTGTTTTTTATTTTGAGACAGACTCTCACTTTGTTGCCTGATATAGAGTGCCGTGGAGTCAGCCTAGCTCACAGCAACCTCAAACTCTTGTGCTCAAACAATCCTCCTGCCTCAGCCTCCCGAGTAGTTGGGATCACGGTTACTCGCCACCACAAGTGGCTATTTTTTTCTATTTTTAGCAGAGATGGGATCTTGCTTTTGATCAGGCTGATCTCAAACTCCTGACCTCAAGCAATCCTCCTGCCTAGGCCTCCCAGAGTGTTAGGATTACAGGAGTGAGCCACTGTGCCTGGCCTTGGCTCATTTTTTTATAATAACTTTTTATTATTTAGGTTATTGTATTATTTAGGTTGCTTTTGTTATAAGGAATTGAATCCCACTGTAGCTACAAGAGAAAGAAAATAATTTCTTGGAAGATATAAGAAGATATACGATTAGCTTCCTTAAAAAAGAAACCTGAAAAATCTAAAAGATAAGAATCAGGGTAGCTTTGGGAGTCCTGCTAGCAACAACAAAGAATTTTATCAGCTGATGCTGATGGGTTAAAACAGGTCAAATCTTCTCAGTTGTCTTCTTTTTCTTTCTTTTTTTTCCCTTTGCTGTGTCACATATTTCAGAAATGACATATTTGATTGGTTTAAATAGAAGAACATGAAGGGAATCAGATCCTTTGATTGATCTCCTAACAAGACTAGACATAATGGGAGAAGACCACTCTCTCAGGGAAAAATTCAGATGTGTTAATGGAAGAAGAAAAAAAGCTATGTTGGCAAAATAACAAAATTCAAAAGGATGTGGCAAAAACAACATTGTTCAGTCAATCTTTATACTTCCAAAGATATCACCCTATATTGCTATGGTGAGTTTTATATAAAATATTAGAGAGAAACCATCATAATTTAACATTACATTTGTTTAAACTGGTGCCTCTTTCCCAATCTTTCCATCACTGCTTTCAGCCATTTCCCCATTCTGTCTTTAGAAGGTTATTGCTACAGATTCCTGACAACATGGCGTCTAGTTTTACTCAAATAATCCTAATTGTTTCTTTATAACTGTTAGAGTTATCTTTCTAGAATATAATTTTGTGTCTTGGAAACTTTCAGTGGCTTCAGCATTGTCTATAGATACTTAATACCCATTCTTATCACCGTGCTGGGCAGAACTGGATCCTCATTCTACTTAGCTAGTTCTATTACATACACATAGCTTCTTTCGAGTTCTTGATTCACTGAATAATTATTGTAGGATGGAGAGAACATCTATTTAAAACAAAAATTCTCAGATAAACATATATAAGTCTGGATGTCTTTCTGCTTCTGTTTTCTAAAGGCAATTCATGTCTGTTTTAAGAAATCCGTATAGTTCCCTTTCACATACAGAGCTTAATAGAGGAAGTACAAAAATGTATACATGTATAAAGAAAAATGACAAATTTTTAAAATTCTGTGGATTCTTCTGTTCTGCTAAGAGGTTCATACCTGAAATGAACAGTTCTTCATTTGATAGGGCAACTTAATGAATTTGTATGTATGCGAAATTGACTTGAAGTTAATTCCTCTGTACAATAAAGTGATAAGTGATAGGAATTTTAAATTTTCTGGTGGCAATGCTGGGGCAGTGGGCTTCAGGACCCTGAAAAGTAGGATGAAGAGGAAAGTTGAGAAATATTTTGGGGGAGAGAAAGTCATGCAATGTAGAATTCCTTCTCAGCTAGAGACTCTTAATGGTAAAATCAGCCACTGAGGTTTCCTCAGGATAAAAAACTTCCAAAGAGCTTATAGGAATACTTGTGTCCAATATTTAATTTTCAGTCACTTGCTTTTCTGTACATTTATATTGTACATTGTGTCTATCTTTATAATATCTCTACCACTCTTCCCTGATTATGAGGCAACCATTTGGTTTGGATACAATCAAACTTTCCTGGAAAATTGGTCTAATCAAATAATCTCATAATGGGTCTATCAGATAATCTCATAATACTCTTTAGTTAATGATTAGTTTGAAAGTAATCTATGGTTTATCCAGCCAACACTTTTCCTGACATTTTCTGAGGCACTTGCTTCTTCCTCTATCTAGAGCACGTATCTTTCAGATGTCTACATGGTTTGCATCCTCAATTCCTTTAGGTTTCTCTTATTAATTTATTTTTTGTTGTATGTATCAATAGTTCATTTGTTTTTATTGTCAAGTAGTATTTCATTGCATGAATATACCACAATTCTGTATCTATTATCTCCTTGTTGAACATTTGGGTAATTTTTTCTAGTTTTTAATTATTATAAAGAAAACTGCTATTAACATACATGTAAAATCACTATGTGAACAATATGTTTTCATGGTAAATATGTAAGAATAAAATTTCTGGGTCATGCCATAAAAATATGTATATATTCCTTATATGTATATATATATATATTTTTTTTCACTAAACTGTTTTCCAAAGTTATACCAACTTACAGTCTTACCAGCAATGTAGAAGAAATTCAGTTTCTGCAAATTTCCTCCGACAGTTTATATTGTTTTTCTTAAATATTAGCAATTCTAGTGAGTGTGTAGTCATTTCTCATTCTAGATATAATGTGCCTTCCAGGATTGATTATAATGTTGACAATTTTTTCAAATACATATTGGCCATTTGTATGTCTTCTTAGATCAAGTGTCTGTTCAAATCTTTTTAATGGGGTTGTTTGGCTTCATATTATTGAGCTTAATGTGTCCTTTTAAAATTTTTGTATTAAGAGTACAGATTCTTTGATGCACGCAGATTTTTTCCCAGTTTTTCCAGAATTTTCTCTTTACATTTTCATTTCCTTAATAGTATCTGGCATATACCTGTAGTCCCAGCTACTTGGGAGGCTGAGGCGGGAGGATTGCTTGAGCCCAGGAGTTCTGGGCTGTAGTGCGCTATGCCCATTCACTATACCAATTTTTAAATAAAACAGTTAAATATTAAGGCCTTCCATTTACGAGTGCTTTGGGAAATCTGAGATAAATTATCGATATTCCCTTTTAGGGTATTTTGGTCACAAAAAATGAAACATGATTGTAAGAATACATCCAAAGCAGGAAATTGGAACAGAAAGTCAGTAGGAGAAATATGAACCTCTAGAGAAGTCAATAGATGAGAAAGAATATGTTTTGCTTTCCAACATACATGGGATAGGAGCTTAAATATATACATTAAGGGAAATGTGATAATCCAAGGCTGAAACAGTTAATATCTGTGTTATGTTATTTGGATGTATGATTTTCCATTTGCACTGTGGTCTTCTGGAGAACTGTGTCCTTTCATTTATCATTGCTCCATTACACAAAGAAGGTTTTCAATAGATTGTTGTTGTAGAAATGAAATAGCATTGGAAACGAGCTCTGGAGTTCGGAATGCTACTAACTACATGCTCGATGTGTTATTTAGTCTGCCTTTGCCAGGCCTCGGTACTTTCATCTATAAAATGAAGTGTCAGACTTCATAATTAAGTCCTTTCTGACTATAAAATATTCTATAATTCTAATTGCTTGTATATGAGTGGAGACGTGCACATACCTTCATCTAATGGAAATAAAGATATACTTCTTAAAAATTTCCTTTGCAAATGTATTTTGGTTAATATAGCTGCCATCAATTTGGCTTATAAAATAGTATTTTCAATGATCTTTTAGCATGATAGATTAACTTTTATGTTCCAAAAGCCATTTCTTCTGAATGCTGCTGAATTCACACTTCACTAATGGCAAGGATCTGATTAGAACTAATTTCATAGTGATTCTTTGACATTTTCAAACACAGAAATGTGCGTGCTTTTCTGAATAAAAGTCAGAGCATATCATAAATTGTAAAAGTTACTATTAAAGTTCAGTCTAATATTGGATAGCAGTTATGAAACTAAAAGTGCCTGAGAAGCTAAACTCTTGAAAAATGAGCTTCCCTTAAGTTTCTTCATCCCTCCATTTCTTTTACTTTCATCTTCCATAATTCTCTTATGCCTACATCTATTGGACTTTTCCTCCAGGCTTTGATGCCTGTCAGTAGCCACTTTATCAGGCTCCTCAGCTTCACTATTCGATGGATCTTAAAATTAAAGAAGCTGATAGTATCTAACAGTATAGGTCAACAAGTCAGCCCACTAAGTGAGAAGTCAAGGCAGAAACTCCATCCTGTGTTAAGGGTCAGTATTGGAGAGAACCAAGACTACTAAGTGACATAAACTTTAGCTGTTTGTCATCAAATACCAAATTAATGGATCTGTTACAAGGAAACCTGGGGGAGCAACACTGTATCTTAACACTTGTGACTGGGCCAGTTGATTGTATTGCTAGGAACTATGACTCAATTTCAGATCTACTTAAATGATGGAGTTATGCTTCTGGAAGAATTATGCCCTTAGCTGGACTTAATTCAGAAACTAAATTATGGCCTTGTTTAACAATTAGGATCCATTAGTGAAACAAGCCAGAGAAAGTAAAGGCAAAAAGAAGAAGACAGGAGCTAAAACTGTCTTTACTTTTAGGGTAAGGAATCAGCAAAGGAGACCCAAGAAGGAACAATAAGGTATGAGAGAACTCAGTGAGAATATAATTGTTGAGGCTAAGGAAGGAAGTGGTTTAATAAATAGCACAGTTAATTTTAGAGTGAATTTTCATCTTATTCATGGGTTAGATTGTTGATTCATGATAAAAGTTGAAAAGGGCATAAATTCAAAACTATTTTATAAAATCCATTAGAAAGGTGCTACCTTAGATACTGACACAAAGTTTTTCCATAAAAATCCAACACAAGTTTTCTTTTTCCTTCCCCACATTAGAATGGATCCTCCCTCCTTCCTCTCTCAATCCCTCATTTCTTCCCTCCTTTCCTTTCTTCCTTTCTTTTGAGCACCATAGGATGCAGTTGAATTTCATGCAGGGTCCATGTTGAATGTCAAAGACAGTGTTTTCCACACTGGACTCACATTCAGTGAGCAAGTCACTCATATTATGAGAGATCTACTGAACTTATGATGGATTCAGGTCATCCATTTTATACCCATTTTGGAGCAGAGGTTCAATGACTGGAGCACATAAATTATCTGCTTACATTTTTAATTGTTTTTTTTTTTCTTTTTGGCCAAACTTGCATAATTGAAATTTCAGGAATTCAATGCTGTATGACTATTTTATCATATTGCAAAGAGGCCAAGAAGGATAAGAACTGGGAAAAGGCCATTTTAGTGCCCATTTAGGGGCTTATAAGTGACATCTGAATGAAATTTATAGACTATATTGTGAAATGTGAACCACATATCAGAGCCAGTTAAGAGGAAGATTCTAAATCTGTTAGCCAAAGAGGCAATTATTGACAAGAGCAGTGTTTCTCAAATTTTGGTATTTGTAAGTACCTGGAGTGTTTGAGTAAAAATGCAGATTCTGGGCTTCATTCCAGAAATTTGGATTCCATAAGATCAGGATGAAGACCAGAAAATAAAACTTTAAATGAGCAAAAAGGTGCTTTGGATGTTGGTGTCCTCAGATCATATCTTGAAGTCCTAGGTCCCAGAAGGAAGGAGGAGAAAGAAAGACAATGATCATGCATTGGGGTTAACTTTGACAAGGAAAAGGGTTGGTTTTCCTCCTGAAGGGTAAAGGAAGACTAAAAATTGAGTATCAAGAAAGAGTTAAATTGAAGTTAGAAAGAAGATAGTGGTCTTAATTTGAAGGATGGAATAAGCTGAAAGATGATCTTTCAGGAGATAAGAAGGAGAGAGAGAGAGCAGCCAAGGGAAGCTTGAAAAGCATGGAAAAACCCTTGTAATCCCAGTAACTCAGAAGGCTGAGGCAGGAGGGTCACTTGAGGCCAGGAGTTCAATACCAAGCTGG